AAAGAATATGAATTTAGGATTGTGATAAACAAAATACAATAAAATTGTTAATGTTAATATGACTTATATAGAATGTTAACTTGAATCTGCGTATATGTTAGGTGAAATTTTAAGATCCATGACCCGAATAAATATGGGTCAAATAGGGTGAGAGAGAATAATAGTGCAATTACAACTCGAAATTTGAAATATTCCCATATTGTAAATTTAGAACAACATATATAAGCGAACAATATTGTTTTCGATTAGATCCTCATCAGGCTTTACTCTAATATACAGTAATATTTATATGCATATACGAAATTATTAAACCAACTCGATCAAATAAGTAAGATGTAATACGGAGGGATGAATGCGAAGTGAATGGATCATGCATAGGGGAGATTAATGATGTTTAACCAATAGTACGAATAATCATAATCATAATAATAATAATACAAAGATTTATGAATAAAGATAACAGGGACAATTACAATTGACTACGAAAGGTCATAGACAAATTAGGTCATTCAATAGTTAAGATTACGATTGATTAATTGGCCTTGATGTTGGCCAGGGGAGGAGGAATTGTTTTGTTCATCCGGATGGCTACTGCTTCAGCCGTTTGAAGGACTTTCAGTCTGACCAGTTTTGGCAAAAATTACCTTATGAATAATTGAAAAAGATTGGTTTATACTGGCACTATGTTCGGTTTGTAATAAATGGGCCAATATTGAGCTGTTCACCTTCTTCATCAAACCTTTGTTTAGCCACGCTGGAAGGTGTTCACGAGCACGAAAATGTAAGTTCCCAGAACTTCGACCAATATAACTCGCTCCACAGGAGCAGTCGAACTGATAAATACAAAATGGTCATTCTAGATAACTCATCTTTTAGCGCGTAGAAAATACTAATCGCAGTTCTGCGGCGTTAAAAGACCTTTGTATTGTCCTACATAATCTCTGAGTTAGTATTTCAGTAGCCGCATCCCCTCTGAATTGTAGACACATGAACAAGGATTTCTTCTTCACTGTTTCTACTTCGCCTACTTTCGCCTTCGTGACCATATATTTAATTATAAACTTCCTAGGGTAGCCGTTCTCCCTGAGAGTATTATGCAATGTGTTAAGCTCTTGTTCAACTATAACAGCAGAACATATAGTGCGAATACGGTAACTAAGGTTTTTGGTCAAGTTTCGCTTGTATTGTAGAGGTACAAAGCTCAGGAAATTAGTATACTGCCAAGTCCATGTACTTTTTCTATTTAAGTTCCTTTTTAACGATCCATCCTCTCTCTTAGTTAAGAGAACGTCCAAAAAGGCTATTCGGCCATCACTCTCTTCTTCAGATGTAAACTGAATGGCTGGATGCACCTCATTAAATCGCCTAAGAACCTCTTGCGGTGACGTATTATCTTTACAAAGGATGAACGTATCATCCATGTATCTACAGTAAAATGTGAAGTTTTGAATAATCTTTTTTAGTGGACCATTTTCTAGTTTGGATAGAAAAATATCAGCTAGCATAGGGCCCAGTGGTGAACCCATTGCAACACCATCTGTTTGTCTATATATTTCACCGCTGAACTCGAAAGTCACATTCATGATGCATTTGAGAAATAATTCTTTCACGACATTAATAGTAGTTTCAATCTCATTTTCAATCAGCTGTTCACCTATATATTCTACAGTCTCTATGGGACGTTTGTGAATAACGATGTTACATCCAATGACATCATCTTTAGTCCCAACATATTTGCAGTTTTGATTTCATCAACAAATTGGAACACATCCTTAACACTATATTTTACAAGCTTTTCGTGCAGTGAAACATCCACAGTTACCAACCATTTAGCTATAGTATGGTAAGGAGAGTTATACATAACTAGAACAGGTCTTAATGGAATCTCTCTCACCCTATTTGACCCATATTTATTCTGATCATGGATCTTAAATCTCACTTAACATTGGATTTTATTTGTTTAATGTTGTTTACCAATTAAAATGTTTGTTTGGCCATACATACATACGTATGAGTAATCGTGATCTCCAAATTAGGATGTCCGAACATGTACCTAAATAGTTTCAAAAACAAACAAAATCAAATGACTCAAATAAGAGTAGATAATAAACACCCATCATCCTCTGTGGCCAAACACAGCTGAAACAGGCCATAAGATTGATCTTAACACGGCTTTTGTGGTGTAGCACAAAAGCGTTAAAGAGAGTCTATTAAGGTTTATTGAAGCTTTAACCGTACGAAAATTCAAATCCCTTAAACGTATTCAAAAACGGTTTGTTATCACTTTGATCTTACCTTGATAACAATAGTTTATAATCCAGAGTGATGAGTTTAATATTGTTTTTCACATTATTGTCTTAAATATCTTCGTTTTCTTTTACCTTCCACTAGTCTAGTTGACTTTTTATTTTTATATATAAATGCTATCAAAACAAGAATTGCAGGCGTACGACGCACGAGCTTATCCCGCCAACACAAGAAACAGGTAGATATCCACCAAGCCGTCTTATTAACCTGGTTATAATAGCAACTGAACCGAGCACTCAAAAGACGTGTAGTCAGATAGGTAAAATGAGAGAACTTAAGACGACTGACTTAATTGCTAAACCTGAGATTATCCTTATAAAGAAAACGTGGTGCCTGTCTGAAATACTACATGTAAAAATAACTAACTAACTAACTAACGCAGAACTAATCACACACTGCATCGTATCAACCGATACCATAAAATGGATGGAGGGTGTATGGTCTACTTACATATTTCGACTAATGAAATTAAATTGGTAGACAGTGTACTGAACATAAAATCAGTCTCGTCATTTCTTACTGTAGGCAGCTGTAGTTATGAGATACTTGTAGAATGTCTGTATTGATCAATAAACAAAACACCAGGAACAGATTTGGCATGTTTCAACAATAAACTTTAATCTCAAATTGACCTCTGATGATTTCAATCTTTGAAGTCAAACGGGAATCAGAAAGTTGATCTCAATGATATGAGGAAAAAGTTGCCGTTATATCCATTTATAGATGGAAACCAATGTATCACGTGACATACGCTCGCTAGTAACCACACGTTTGAACGTACCTTGTACACACTCAAGAACCGTATTCGAAACAGCAAATTTGTTATCACGAAATCGGCACTATATTATTCACTATTTTATCAATAAAACATTTGATGACTGTAAAGCACTGCTGTTCTGTACTACAGGTGAGTATCATGTTCCATGTAACTCAATGTAAAAGGACTCAAGGAAGTTGTTATATCCGTTGACATTTCAATTCATTTCAGAAATGTTCAGTGTGAATGAAGTTTGTAAGAGGATGCGCTATGAATTAAACCTCAAAACCGCGTATTCATTGTAAACACACACATCTGATTTATTCATCAATTGAACATATATTTACTAGTTTCTACATCTCAATTGGATTCACCCCCTCAATAGATGTCATTGTCATGAAGTGAGACACTGTCTAATGCAGATCATGAACAAAATATGAAATTGTGTATCAAAACGTTTGAATTACTCATGAAGATACAAACATGAACCGAAACACGGTTGATAAATAAATTGAGCGTCGAAATTGTAGATTCGAATCCCAGGACAATTTAAATTACAATGTATTATCATATCACCACAATAGTGATCGAAGCATAAGGGCCAAATAATGGTCTCGCGAGCATAATTGACAATAAAATGTCAAACAAAACAACTGGAGGGCATTTATGTGAAATTATCATTATGTGGTAAACTTCAATTTTATTTCTACATTTGTGTGATCATACAACCTCATTAATACATACGCAAGATCTATTCATACTTCAAATCAGTCTATTTCAAAATGGAATTTAACAAGATTGAGAAAGGGAGGGAGGGAGAGATACATAACCTAGTTAGACAGCATAGGGTTGATGAAATTATCACACAATTGAGCAAGTTATAACTAATAATTAGGATTACCGACTCTTGGGTTAGGTGTGGTGCAAGAAACGGTTGAAAACAACAATATCACAAAATAACATGAAATTCACTTATCAATAAATTTCACAGGTATTGTGTTGAAAACATTCTCACAACGAAAGACATATATGGCAATGAAAGATTGATCATATTGAAAACATGTAGGTTGATGACTGAACTAGAACAAATAAAGATAATGCAGAATACACTACTTACTTACTTACGCCTGCCACCCCTTGTGCAGGAACATAGGCCGACCATCAACATTCTCCATCGAACTCTGTTCCGGGAAATCATTTCCACTTGTTTCCAGTTTTTATTCATCATCTTCATTTCTGCTTACAATTTCCGACCCAGTGTGTACCGTGTTCTTCCTCTTTTCCCTTTCCATTCAGGATTCCAATTTAGTGGTTGCTTCGGAGTGCAGTTTGTTGATTGCCTCAATGTGTGTCTTAACAATTCCAGCATCATTTCCTAATTTCCTATTTATCTGGAAGTCAAGCCAGTATCATCTGCAACAATTCGATCTTGCCTGTAAAATGGCTTGCCTAATGTAACATATTGTAATTTGAGAAAATGTACTATTATTATTGTTATTATCATGTTCTAAATTATGTGTACAATTTTGTTTTATGACGTAGACTTACATGAATATAATCGTTAAATTTTATTTCAATAACTCATTGTTTGAGGAATCTAGTATGTGTACCATTTAGCCTGTTATGGAGTACCATTAATCAGAGGAAAAACAAAACACTTTATGTAATTCACAACACATACGTTTGTCAAAGTGTGATTGAGCATAACCACATGTTCTGTTCACGATAGATACACGTAAGTACAAGTAAGTACAATGTGATAACTAGACATCACAGTGGACAAATAGAGTGACTCATAGATTCTCATTAGAGCTATTCACTAAATAACGGCTTTCAAATAAATATCAGGAAGTCAAACAAGCATATTATGGCGTAATATATATTTGACACTGTATCTCATACCACTATCTTCCTATCAATGATCATATATCAAACA